GAACTGCTTAAGTCTCCTGAGCAAACAGCTAATTGAGACTTCTTGTTTTCCAAAGGGAAATTAGGAAAAAGGCACTTATTTAATTATGTAATTGGGACACATGCTATTTGTAGTAAAAAAGCTAAAGTGCAAAGTGCTGCCAAGGCCTTGTAATATTTGGAATTAATACTTAGTACAAAGACAAAATAGTCTACTAACCTTTTAAATTGTTAAGAGATTATTTCCTGCATTTAACAAATAAAATTTAGATACTACATATTTAGATTACTAGATTTTATTAGGCTAAAACTTTTAAATGGCAAAATAACAGAAAGGCATACATATTACCATCATCCTTTCATATCTTAGCAATGTAAGAACTTCTTTAGATAAGAAAGATGCATGCCTAGTTATTTAGATCAATATTCATTTAAACATTTTATCATCACATATTAAGAGGTAATTGGTCCTATTTATTTTCCAAAAGAATGGCTTAAAACCAACTGTTCAGAAAACCAAAATAAAAGTTTTTGATGGATATTCTCATTAATTGGTCTTTGGTCAACATCATCTACAACAGATCAGCAATTTCATGACTTAAGGAATATTTTATAATAAATTCTATGGTAAACAAATTAGATTTATTCTTTTTTTTTAAGGATTTTATTTATTTATTCATGAGAGACACACAGAGAGAGAGAGAGAGGCAGAGACACAGGCAGAGGGAGAAGCAGGCTCCATGCAGGGAGCCCGACATGGGACTTGATCCCAGGTCTCCAGGATCACGCCTGGGGCCGAAGGCAGGCGCCAAACCGCTGAGCCACCCAAGGATCCCTATTCTTTAAAAAAAAAAAAAAAAAAAAATTAAACTGAACAACTGAAAACTCTAAATCGATTCCTGGATTAAATTATCCCAACCAAGCTCAATGGCACAGAATTTGACTTCTTGGACACTCTCCTTTTCTCCTAATTAAACAGTTTTAAAGCTTTCTCATGAAAATGTTAGCCTTATCCACAGATAGACTTTAGCCTATCTCTTTGGAAGACTAATGGCCATTATCTACTCAAGCACACGTTCTAATTAGGCTTGCAAATTTTCCAACAAAAAATGTCAATCATCTCCACTTCTTTCTTGACTAATTGTCAAAGTACATGTATCTGCCCTTAATCAGTAAGAAATAATATTTATACTGTAAGGTTTCATTAACAAATATAATCCACTATTTTAATATATATTCCATAATATTGTCCAACTCTTTACCAAAAGCTTACTTTGCAGCCTCCTCGTTCTTCTATGTACTGTAAATTCTCTCTCTGAAGTATGCTAGACCAATAACATATTTAGACCAAACTGCTTATTTCTGCATTGCTATTTGGCATTGTGTCTTTACTTTGGAAAAGTGTGACTGTGAGCATCTCAAGAATGTCATCCTCTGTAACAGAGAATTTCTTTTAAATGCACATGGAAGAGAAACTTCTTTGACCCTCATGAAAGCTGTGCTCTTCCTGATGAGACACATAGATTTATATGATAAAATATAAGAAAGTCTACAAGCAAGTAATGAGAATTATAATTGTGTTAACTAATAAAGTCTACCAACTTTTAACATCACTGTAAAAGGAGATATGGAATCTTTTCTGTTGCAAGCATTAGCACACAAAAAATAAGACAAAATAATGTAGATATTTTTATATGTTAAGACATAAAATATCCAGAACTTATATTTCTGTTCTACATCATAGATAATTACAAAGAAAACTGAGACATAGAAATATGTTAACATTCTACTTCACCTCTGCCTGATAAAATCCTCCCCACCGTCATCAGTGATCAGTAAAGTGAATGCAAAATATCTGTTAAAGATTTTTATTAAAAGCTACCTCTTTCATGAAGGATTTGGGTCAGTTACCCTTTACTTCATCTATGAATTTTGGTGAAAAGCAACGCACTTTAAGGAGATGAAATATTTCATGATAATATGAAGTAATTATTTTCTTTAAAAAAAAAGCTATAAACAATTTACGATGGCATGTCTAAGAAAATTCTAAAGTAGGCAATCCCTTTAGGCTTAGCTTCAAAACTTGAGGTTGCCTCTTGATACTGCAAATTATCACATGCATTCTTCCCATAAGCTGCCATCACTGTTTATATTATAAAAATTTCCAAGAATCTGCTTGGCCACATTTGACAAGCCTATTTTATAATACAAGGAGAACTAGACTGGAAGTTAGCAGACCTAGGTTTTCATTCTGGCTTTACCAGTTATAAAAACAATTATTCTTCCATCTGGAAATCCAAATTGATTTGAGAAAATCAGTTATTTCCTAATTGTGTAAGTCCTTTGAATCTCGGGTAAAGAGCATGGGGTGTGTGGAAGGGGGATGTTAGGTCAAATGGGACTCCTCAACTCATGTCCCTATAGTTTCATTGGTTCACAAGAACATCTTATTTTTTTTTTGAAGATTTTATTTGTTTATTCACAATAGACATAGAGAGAGAGAGAGGGGCAGAGACACAGGCAGAGGGAGAAGCAGGCTCCATGCCAGGAGCCCGATGCCAGGAGCCCAGGACTCCAGGATCGCGCCCGGGGCCAAAGGCAGGCACCAAACCGCCGAGCCACCCAGGGATCCCCAAGAACATCTTAAAACACCAAAAAATATTTAAAATAAAATTTCTAAAATACACACACACACACACACACACAAATATATTAAAAGGCATTTTTAAAAATATAAACAAAAAAAAAAACACTTTCATTTCAGCTCTGCTGGATTCTCATTAACAATAAAGCTCATGTTAACCAAACATGGGGGGAAAAACTAAACTGAGATTAAGTCAAAAAAGCAATCATCTAAGAATATACTGCAAGATTAACAGAGGCATGACAAGCAGCAAAAAAATATGGTCCTAAAGTAAATCTATCTCTAAGGGATAAACTAGATAGACTTTACAAACTTAATCAGAGGCAGAAATACTGGGCCTGCTCAAAGTTAAATGAATGTGTCAAAACCTGGGACTGAACTCAAAAGAACTTGGATCTTAGGAATGAGTGTTAGCCATCTCTGAAGTACAAGTAGGATATACTTACTTAAATGCCACCTTTAAGGTATATAGTCAAATAACAAAAATAATCAGGAATATTATCTCCACAAAACTTAACGTGGATAATAGTGTAGGAAAGTGACTCAAAAATCTGAATTTATTCATATTTGATAAAAGCCAAAACTAAAAAATTTCCAGTTCACTAACATATTGACTATTTAAAAGAACTTTGTTTCTGTGAAAATGCTTATAGCAATTGCTTAAAGAAAGGGGTAAAAAGGCAGTTTGAACACTTGGTTTTCTAAAACCATAGACTATAGGCTTAGTAACACACAGCTATTCTGAATCACAGAAGACAGACTAGAAAAGTCTATTACAAACTACCAAAAGAATACTTTTATCATATGAAATTACTTAACCTCTGCTCAAAATTATCTAATGAGCAACTCTAATTTTTAGAAAACTTTTTCTAGACATGAAATTTGCCCATTATTCTTTCTAGTCATTCTGATTTCATTAATTCTACAGATACCAAATTGACATTAATTTATACCAGTCTTTTCAAGGAAAAGTACATGATGTATGATGTTAAAGGGGGAAAGCTATGTGGGAGCAAGGGAATGACAGTTAAAAAAAAAAAAAGACTAAATAATAGTGAATTCAAAAGTAATTTAGGCTACCTCAATCTTGTAGTAATTTTAAAGACTTTTGGAACTTTAAACCTATTCTCCCATAGAAACTTAGTTATAAATAAAGTTATAAATGACAGCAAGATTCCTAAGTGAATCCATCAAAAAAAAATTTAATTGGAAAGCTCCAAAGTTCTATAGACACTACCATTTCAGATTCTTCATTAAATTTTTTTTAACTATTTATTTATGATAGTCATACAGAGAGAGAGAGGCAGAGACAAGGCAGAGACATAGGCAAAGGGAGAAGCAGACTCCATGCACCGGGAACCCGACGTGGGACTTGATCCCGGGTCTCCAGGATCGCGCCCTGGGCCAAAGGCAGGCGCCAAACCGCTGCGCCACCCAGGGATCCCCCATTTCAGATTCTTAACACAGGGTGCCAAAAACACAGATAGTCCTAAAAGCTAAGAAAAGGTGGAAGGGTCTCATCATCTTCTGACACTACTCTCCAAGGCCCCAACTAAAATCTTCTAGAACAGTAGTTGCCAAAGTATGATCTGGAGAAATTGTAGGAATCTCAAGATCTGTTCCAGGGACTAAGTCACCCCATGGACCCCCAAGCTTAATTTTGAATGCAGTACATATCAATATAAATTACATAAATAAAAGCTCTTTGGAGTCCTCAGTAATTTAGAAGAATGTACAGTTCCTGAGATTGAAAAGTTTGAGAATCACTATTCTAGGCAGTAAAGTCAAGGACTACATTCCTTGAAGTCACTAGTATGATTAATGTTGAGTAGGAGGGTTAGGAGCACAGGAGCACTTACAGAGTTGTGAAATAAAAACCTCAGGAGAAAATTCTGAGGTGATAAAATTCTGATGATAAAAGCAGAACTGAAAGAGTCTAGAGCCTTCATTTCCTCTTTTCTATTCATCCTTAGCATAAGCAAATAAATGAGATTTAGTAGCAGTGTCAGGTGGGACTATGAATAAAGCCACAGAAGCTGAAAAGTAAGAAAATATCTTAGTAGAAAGATTAAAGAGTAACTAGGAAGTCCATTTTAACAACAGAACAGGTTAGATCCATAGATATAATAGGAGGTAAGGCTATGGGGGAAAGGGTTATACTGAGGATAACATTGAATAAATAATACGCTAAAGTAACTAAGCAAGAAGAAAGCTGCTGAAGAATTTTCAGCTAACTGGTGATAATTCAGATTTATAGGTACCGCAGTTTTTAAAAATATTTTTATCTATTATAAAATGTGAAACATTTCAATGTCCATAAATGAAAATATTGATCATATAATTAAATATTTCAAATACATAAAAACAGGAAGACTCACCATGTTGCTTTTGTTTTGGATTATACATTTTCCACCACCGAAAAATTATAAATCCATCTTGAATTCTATGCAAGATAAATTACAAAATTAAGAACTTTAGTAACAATTTACTTAACTCATTTAATTAATAATTGTAAAAAGCAGGCAATTGATAATGAATATGAAAATAGAGAAAATTCTCAGATCACTGGAATACATAAATGTTTCATAGTCTCAAGTTAAGAAAGGAAAGGGGAATTTACATAGCTCTAAAATAGATTATTCTATTAAGGTAAAATTTAATACCAGATCACATTTAATAGGAAAATGAAGTGCTAACAGGAAAATATTTTTTCTTTTATAAATGATATTTTTTAAATGGTGTAAAAACTATATAAACAAAAAGCCAAATCTTGAAAGGGGGATATTACAATGCTAACAGAAGCTTTTAAAAATACTCCTTTAACTCTGTAATCATATATTACTTCACGCCTCAAAAAGATAAACTTATAACCTCTCAACCTTTTCTTCTTACTTTTCTTTTCAAAATAATTTTATACTCACAAAGTTGACTCTATTGTTTTAAATGAGGTATGACTGTTGCCAAACCCTAGCACCTCTCAAATAATTCAAAACTTTCAAGTTAAGTAGCAAATGTTAAGATAAGCTCAAGTTAAGTAGCAAATGTTAAGCACAAAAATAAAGTAAGCTTTTCTTTCAAGGCCTGCAGAACAAAGAACATATCAAACATACTGTCATTTCTTAATATATTCAGATTTGTGTTTCCTCCTTAAAGCAAAATTAGAGTAGCTAATAGATACTAAACAATTCTTAAAACTTATTACCTATAATAAAGAGCTAATGGATGAGTTCTCAGTATCCCTGGACCCTTGTTTTATGTAACAAATGACCACCATGAATTCCACAAGAAAAATGGTCAGGTAATTTCATGGCTCATGTGTTCATCTAGGAATGAAATGAGATTATTCATTTCTATAACCAGCTATTTGATAAAGTTTGTGCCAGTCTAAAACTTAGCTAAATTAATCTACTGATAAAAATATTTTTAAAGATCAATTCACCAGATAGGATTTACTAAAAAAATTGATTTATGGTTTTATTTGAAAAGTAAATCATATTAAATAAAATATGATCAGAAAAAATTTTACAACACTTTTTTTTTTTACCTAATAGACATGTCTTCTGTAATGTAATAGATTTCACGAACCATGACTTTTCCAGAAAGAACAGAGAAAGAGAAGGACCCTGTTGTAAGAAAAAAAAAAACAAAAACAAAAAACAAAAAACACAACAGTGAGTAATGGAATTGTTTTGATCCAGAGTGAGCACTTAAAACTTAAAATAATCTTAGCATTCAATTTATTCAATAATTATTAAAGGTTCTCTCCTACCTGATTCCCTTACAGCCTTACTAATTTTCTATTGCTCTTTCTTCAAATATGAACAAAAAGTACAATAAGTACCATCACTATGAATTGAACTACTAAATAACCATACAAAGACATTAAATAGCTGCTTCATATGAATAATTCTTTTAATTATGCACAACTTTAAATAAACCTCAAACCAGTGACTAATTTACCACTTTTCTCCATTAATTTCTTTGACTCTAGGAACCAGTCATTGCCTCAAATTAGTGGAAGATGACTTAGTTTGAGAGAAATTTTATTTATGTCCTCTAAGAAGTACTCTAAGGAAGTCCCAATGGTTCTAGTCAATTACCTCTCACCCCTTTTCCCATTAGTTGAGGGCTTTCTGAAGCATACTGCTTCCAAATCAATCCTGCGGCCTGCAAACTTCCCACTTAGAAGCAGCTGGAAACTTAAATTAATAATGCAGGCCACAAAAAGAAATGTACAAAATGATTCCAACTTACAGTTACAGTTTTTTTAAGTATGGGTTATTGGGGAAAAAAAAACAGCAAAAACCTCATTAAGCATTAGAAACTTTCTTTGGATAGTAGAATCCTGAGAAATTTCTATTTCCATAGTTTATGCGTGCCTATATTTTTCAAATTGTTTCAATGAGCATCTTTTATAGCAAGAAAAAAAATCCCAAAAGTTACTATAGAAACACTTTAAGAAATAAGAATGAAGTAAAGAACCTAACCAAATGATAGTTCATCTTCTGTCGTAGAGTGCTGCATGAGAGAAATTCCAGTTAGGTTAACATTCATGAAACAAAGGTGAATTTCTAAAGCTACTATAACTTATAAAATATAAATTTATAATATACATCTCAAGATTATACATAAGAAAAACATTCAGTGTTATTCGAACTTACCAATATGGATATAGCCATGTTTGTATAATCTATTAAGAACCAATGTTAAAATAAGACCAACGTTTCGAGAATTGTAGTATGTGAGGTAAATAATCCATCCACAGGACAAAATTGTAGCTGTGGAGAAAAAAAAAGCAAAACAATCTCACTGTAAGTTTCCTTCACAATCACCTTATTATCTCAGTAAAAATTTGTTAGTAAAAGATCATTTATGACATTAAAATATGATAGTATCTACTTCTAAATGGTAATATGTTCTCTTACAATTCAATACTTTGGATTTTTTTTTTTTTATGATAGAGAGAGAGAGAGAGAGAGAGAGAGGCAGAGACACAGACAGGGAGAAACAGGCTCCATGCACCGGGAGCCTGACGTGGGATTCGATCCTGGGTCTCCAGGATCGCGCCCTGGGCCTAAGGCAGGCGCTAAACCGCTGCGCCACCCAGGGATCACAATACTTTGGATTTTTAATACCAGATGTTGATTCTACCTTATGTAACTTTCCTCATTTTTCTTTACTTTTGTTGATTCTACTTTATGTAACTTTCCTCATTTTTCTTTACTTATTAGCCAGAAAAGCACATATTACAATCAGATCAATTAAAAAAAATACTGCCCGGGGTGCCTGGGTGGCTCAGTCAGTGAAGCATCTAACTCTCAATTAGGCTCAGGTTATGATCTCAGGGTCATGAGATCCAGCCCTACATTGGGCTCCATGCTGGACATGAAGCCTGTTTAAGATTCTCTCTCTCCCTCTGCCTCCACCCCCAATTCTCACATGCAAGTGTACTCTCTCTCTTAAAAAAATAAATACTTCCTTTTTTTCTGTTTCCTTTTTCACTGTTTTGTACTTATTATTAAACATGTATAACAATATTCTGGAAAGAGAAAGCCCATATTTCTGCATATTCTGAAAAATGTCCACCTTTATCAAGCTAAAAGCGCATTCCCAAGCTATTTTCTAAAGGCTACAGACATTTAAAAAAGAAAGAAAACCAATTATTTTTTAAAATCAAAGAAATCGTAGTGTTTTTTATTAAATCAATAATTTCTGCTTTAAAAAAAATGGAAAGAAGTGAGAATTTTACCCTACTTAAAGGCATATCTATACTAAACAGGCCACCCTGTAATATTTTGTTATATTTGATAAGGCAACAACCTACTTTTGAAGAATGCCAGTGAATATGCTACAGTAAATGATATTTCAAGTTTGACTCATTTTTCATGAGAAGTATACAGTCACCTATAGGACTCATAATATTCCCAAAAGAACCTAGTTCATGAATATACAAAAACTAAAACATAAGAAAGCATTTTTGATAATAAATTTCCTTTTACTTAGCCAGTTTGAAAGAATAACTATTTTCTAAATTAGGACAAAGTAATGTAAAGCAATTTAATATGTACAACCACTTAGCAACATCACATTAAATTCTTAATGGATAAAACAAAGCAGTCACTGAGTCAAAACACATTTTCTCAGGGTAGCTTATATTGACAGTAATAACTCTGATGTAGCAAGTGCTATGATTTGCCCATAAAAATTATTTCTAGAACAATTATTTCTAGAAAAGTTGTTTTGATGATATGTTTTTTTTTTCCTTTGTAAAAAAGTGTTTTGGGTTGTTTTTGTTTTTTTTTAACTGAAGTATAGTTGACACATAATGTTATATTAGCTTTAGGTATACAACATAGTGATTTGAATATGTCATTACATTTTAAGTTTAAAGACATTCTGTGCTAATTTTTACTGTAAATCACTGTGTCAAGAGCAGGTTATGGTGGGCCATTCAGTAAAGCAAGAAGTATTTGCTGGAAAGTATGCTTCTGGTATCATACAACCTGAGAACTGCGGGCCTTTTCATTTTATCATGTTCCCCAACCCCCTTTAATATCAAAAGGTCAGTTAGGAAAACAGCAAGAGTAAACGATCACTCAGTGATTTTCTGATTGTTACTGTTGTTTTTTTCCTTAAGGAAAGGAGTTGTATATAATAGAAAAAAAAGAGAAATTCTAGGTGATAAAGAGAATGATAGGAAATAAGAATTCCACCCTTAATTAAACTAGAAGAGAATTTTCAGTGTGTCTTTTATGAAATTTAATTTCATATTAATGTTTTGCATTTCATTTTACTTTTTTGGCTTTAATTAAGGATAATTTATAATGGTTCACTTTTGTCAATTAGAAGAAATATATCTCAATCCAATAGGATTGGATTGTGTTTAATCCAATCCTACCTACAAATCATGAATCATAATTTTTTATACACACTTCACCTCTACTCATTTCCTTACCACATATCCTGTGGTGTCATGAAAGAAGCATAAGGATGCACTCAGAAAAAAACAGCTATGTTACCGATATAAGTTATTTAATCCTTATAGACCTCAATTCTCCAAGTTAAAGTCTGGTGCCTTCATAAGTCTGCTATGAGCACTAAGTGAGATAACATATGCAAAAATGACAATGGTATGTGGCACACAGAAGATGTTCAATAAATATCATTACCCTTTCTTTCCCCTTTTACCCTTTCTATTTTCCTCTCTGCCTTCCTAACTATTATACTGAAATTCAAATCAAATACTGTTCTTCCACAAAAACTTACCGGGCAATAACACCCTACAGTATCTTCTCCCTGGTTATTATTTTGTACTTCCCCTCTTATTAGTTCCTATTCATTCATTCCCTCATATTTCCTCCCTCTCTTTGCCACTGATTTATACACTGTTTTGTATTATTTCTATGAATCTAGAAAACTTCTGGAATATTAGACAAAAAAAAAATTTTACTGGTAGAGCCCAATGTCAAGTATATAAGGAGGAAAGAGATGAAATTAATAGGCATGTACACTCTATTTTATATTAAAAAATATATTTACCATGAGAATTTATCACTTTTAAAGTAAAACAAAGAAGTGTATGTGCATGTGCTGAAATGGGAGTGGAGGAGTCGTGGTGAAGGAGTGGACTTGAAAAAGGAAAGATAAGCTAAGGGCAATGTTTTTCTTCTTCTCCCACCTCCTCTAAGTCAGACAAGGAAGGAGGCAGCTTAAGAAAAAGAGCCCTCCAAAGCACTTGCCAGAGCAAATTGTCATAGAAACATAGATTAAAATCTTTTTTCCAAAAAATAAACCAATGATATTGTAAGCATTTCAACTTCAGCTAACTACTGCTTAAAATTTGGCAGTTGTTAATTCACACACAAAAAAAAAAACCCATAAAGTACATGAAAATATATTCTACTTACCAACAAGGAGCCAAACAACATTGGAATTGTGTTCTGTAAGAAAATCTTCTAATTGAGTGATACTAGGAACAATACTCTCATTCTTCCTCTGATCCATTACTGAAGTTTTTTCAGACCAGCCTCTAAAGGCCTAAGATTTATTAAACTGCAAGGGAAATCAAGTAAGGGGAGAAAAAGGTGGATTTAATAAAAGTAAAAGTTCATTAAACCACATTCCAGTTCATTCAGTAAGAATGAAAAATATACAAATATTTTGCAGCAAATATATATGCAACAAAGCATGTCCACATTTCTTTTTTCTTTTTTTCTTTCTTTCTTTTTTTTTTTTTTTTTTTGCATGTCCACATTTCTATAGAAAATATAAGACAATGATCGGGCTCTCTGTGAGGAGCCTGCTTCCCCCTCTGCCTATGTCTCTGCCTCTCTCTCTCACTATGTCTATCATGAATAAATAAATAAATCTTAAATATATATATATATATATATATATATATATATATATATATATGGCAATGTATCACATTTTTAATGTCCTGATTTCATCATCCTAAGAATGAATAGATTTGGGTTCAGTTACCATCTGGCTCCAAATATGAGGGACATAATTACCAATCTAATCAAAGATATTTATCTTGGGGATCTCTGGGTGGCGCAGCGGTTTGGCGCCTGCCTTTGGCCCAGGGCGCAATCCTGGAGACCCGGGATCGAATCCCACATCGGGCTCCCTGCATGGAGCCTGCTTCTCCCTCTGCCTGTGTCTCTGCCTCTCTCTCTCTCTCTCTCTCTGTGTGTGACTATCATGAATAAATAAATAAAATCTTTAAAAAAAGATATTTATCTCAACAATAAGAAGGAAGTATTAATGATCTATATTAGACAAATTCATCTGCATTTGTCTCAAAAGCTGCCATTAAATGTTGTATTTATTAATTAACTTATATTAATCCTTCTTAACCTCCATAAGCTCTGTTTTTTATTAAATGGGTTGTAATCTATTACAATCTTCCTACTTTGGATTCACACTGAGTAGAGTTTGGACAGTAAGCAGATGTCCTCCTATCAGATGCTCAGGATGAATTACAATAAACACATGTCAAATTGTGACCCAACATGTGAAGAATGTATGTGTATATACACACATTTCAGCAAGATAAGTATGAATATTTAGATGTATTGAGAACGAGTTACATGAATTGACAATGAGTAAAGAGTGAGGAATAAAAGTTCTTATTTTATGATCTGAGAAACAAGAAAACTATCCGCGTGTTAAAAATTATCCCTCATGTTAATACAGTATTAAAATGACTAACCCAACTTACCTATAACAAAATTATCTTATGATAAATCAGAAAATAACAACATTTACAACAACAAAAACAAAAAACTAGCTTTAATCACAAAGTGAGCTACACAGTTAATGATCATTTAAGGCCAAATAGCACAGGTGATTTTATAGAAAACTAGAAAAAGAGATTTCAAAACAAGAAGAATATATGAGAACAACTTTCTAGCTGAAATTCAGAACAGCTGACTTGTTAACTTCCTAAAAATGTTTTCTATTTACTCACCAGAGTCTTCTCTTCAGTGATAACAAAACAACTTTAAAATTGGATTAGACAACACTGCCAGATTACAATGTTTCATATTTCTAAATTGTTAAAATGTTAGCAATTCAGAGGCAAATTAAACATCTCTTTTAAAAAAAGGAAGAGCTCAACAGCAAAAGATTTATTAGTAATAGCAATAGGAAAATCTAAGGTTGAAAGAACTAGAAAAAAAATTTAAATGTTTTCATTTTTCAATTACCTTTTTCCCCTACAGTTTAGAAAATGAGTAAAAAATGTTCTCATAGTGAACAGTCTGGTTGGGGCAGGGGGGTAATAAGCAAAGGTGGTAAAAAGGTACAAACTTCCAGCTGTAAGATAGTAAGTTCTGGAGATACAATGTACATCATGGTGACTATAAGTTAATAATACTGTATTATATATTTGAAAGTTGCTAAGAGAATAGATCTTAAAAGTTCCCATCACAAGAAAAAAATGTTATAACTATGTGAGACCAGCTTAAGCAGTTGGAGCCTGAGCAGGGAGGTTGCCTGATGCAGGGTGTCAGAACCCAAGAGGAAGGCATCAGACTCCAGGCATCAAACTCCAAAGAGATAAATAAGGCTTCCATGCAAAAGGGGCAATCTGGAGTAGTGTGTTGATGTGGGAGAAGGATAAGGAGGGTACACACCTAGGAAATAGCCCTTGCAGGGTATGGGGAAGAGGATTAATTAAGTAAATATATTAAGGATATTGAAAGCCTGTTTTCTCACTGTTGGAGGATACAGATGAAGAAAATTAGAATTAATTCTGTGGTGTTTGATAAAAACTTAGAAGTATAGTTTTCAATATAAGTATACAAACAAATATGGCTATAAATGTGTATTTGTATGTATGTACATATGCTCATTAAAAGGTCTGAAAGCAGCAACACCACAATTAAAATGAGTAGAAAACTTTGCTTCTAAAAACAATTTTCTATCAAAAGGAAACAGGGCTCCTTGAAGAAATGACTAATTCCACAAGTAGGTCAAGGAAACTCAAGATGAGCCTTGTTTTCCAGAAGGTAAAGAAATACCTGAAGAATGATGGGAACTTGTCAAAAGGACAAAGAAATCAGCTTGAAGAGGCTTCCACTGGAAAAATCTGGGGCAATTTAAGCATCAAAATAAATAATAGTAATAGATTACAACCCATTTAATAAAAAGAACCTATGAATCCGTATCAATATAATCAATTAAATTTTGATAAGTAACAAGATTCTCCTACCTCAAAATAACTCCCATCAAAATTATTAATGATGAAGGAGGAACTTTGTGAAATTTAGTTAAGTGATCAGACACCATTAATATTAAGATAAATCTGAATTGTGCACTCCTTAAAATTTTTTTGATTACAGTTGACATACAATGTTACTTTCATTTCAGGTATACAACACAGTGCTCAACTTCTCCATGCATTATGCTATGCTCACCACAAATGTAGCTACCATCGTAATAGAGGAACACAGCTTCACTTCTAAATGCCTGCCAAAGATGCACAATCTGAACCTAATCTATCTTGATTCTCTCTACTAATAGATTATGACCAATAAGAATTGTTTTATTCACCTTTGTATCCACAATACCTGTGATGGTGCCTTTGAACATAGCCATTGTTTTCAAGTATTACATCATTTTAAATGGTATTTTTATCCAGCACATAAGATAATAACACTGATCTACATGTTTCAACACAAGCTCTCTCAGTATTTCCATAATTCATCTATATTCTCTTCATTTTTCCTGAATCCATTATATTCACTTCAAAACTGTCCACATTAGAACAGAAATTTTGATAGTTATTCTTTTAGCAACGTACAAAGAAAAGCATGAAAATGTGAAATAGTTCAAGCAAAAATAGCACAAACCAGAGACTTAAAGTTCCTAATTTAGCACTACCACTACTACACCATTTTAGGAAATACCTTTCCAAAAAATTACTTTTCAAAATGAATTACCTATAAAATTTTTTCAAATACTACGTTCAATTTTATTTCTGTCTCACTAGCATAAAGAAAATAAAATTATCAAACACCTAATACTTGCATTAACACAGAGATAGAATTCCAAAACTTAGTTTGTTCCTTCAAAAATGGAGGCCATTCTATAAATCAGAACAAAAAATACAAATAATATGATAGGAAAATTAGCAAAATATATAGTCAATTTACAGAAGAAGATACTATCACTAGCAATTGGAGACAATCCCCACTTGCCACCCAGTAGTCATATTAAGTAAAAATAAGAAAGACTGCAAACAACTATATTGGCAAAAATATGGGAGAATGGGCATTCATACATAGTTGATAGGCATAAACTATCTTTGGGAAAAATAATTTATCAGATACTATAAAAATGTGTACACTTTAAATTGGACATATCAGTTCAAGGACTCTCTTATAAACACTCAGGCACAAAAAGATGTTTTTCAAGAATAATTACTGCAGCATTATATAAGTGCACTGGGAAATTTGAAAAGAGGTCGACTAATAGGAAAATAGTTAAATAAATTATGATACACTTTCCTGGGAAATAAGATGCATGGAACCTTTCTAAAAGACTGAGATCTCTATATGGGCTGATACAGGGAAATGTCCAGAATATATGCAATGTTAGCAGGGAAAAAGCAAGTTGAGAAACAAAATGTATAGTATTCCATTTATGTTTAAAAGAAAAAAGACTATCCATTATATATGTTACATGTATATACCCTATATATACACATATATGTATATGTGTGCACAAATATAAAGTATGTGTGTGTACACATTCTTTTAAATTTGCAGAAACACTAGCAATTCCATGAATGGTTACCTATAGAGAGAGCAGTGGCAAAGATTTCAGGGGAAGGAAAAGAATCAGTGAAGCAGAATGTTCACTTTTACTCTCGATACTTAGGTATTGCTTAAATGTTTTACAACTGGCATATAATACTTCCATAATTTAAAAAGAAAAAGGGAGCGTGTTGGCTGGAAGGCAGGAAATAACAGGTTAGAAAGAGGCTTTTCTTAATCAAGCACATATCTCATGGTCTCTCCTACAACAGTCCAAACCCAAAAATAACAACTCTGGCATCTGTCATTCTACCATCATGTCTTTCTTCAGTTCTCACTTGTGTCTTTAAAAAATTAAAATGAAAATACTGAGCAATAACAAATTTCATCATGACATCAAAAAGATCAGTTAACATCTTTGCAAGAATTATTTGATTTGATAACCTTGAGGGTAAGAACGGAAGGGAGAATAGCTGTACTGTTCTGGAAAGGGCCAGCAGAAAAGCTGCATCAAGGAAGGAAGTAAAGAACACTATAAGGAAGAGATTGGACAAGGGACAAGGAAGAGGCAGTTATTTAAGAAAGACAGCATCAAAAGAGCTCTAAAAACGGAGCACCTGAGTAGCTCAATCAGTTAATGTCTGACTCTTCATTTTGGCTCAGGTCATGATCTCTGGGTCCTGAGACTGAGCCCCATATTGGGCTCTATGCTCAGCAGAGTCTGTTTGTCCCTCAACCTCTTCTCCCCCCACCCCCATTCATAAGCTCCCTCTCTTTGTTTCTCCC